GGCGCGACCTCTCCCCTTCTCCAGGGATTTGAAGCTGGGCCAAGCGGCGATGGAAATGTCATTGTCGCGGCACTGGGGCCCGGCGAAGTAAACGCGTTGCCGGAGCGAAGGGAGCGGGACGCTGCTGCACCCAGCTCTGCTCCGCAGCCGGAGGAAGGGACTCCTGGTTGGAGTGGGCAGCAAGAGGACCGTGGGGTTTATCCACGCTCCCACGGGCTGCAAGGGCCACGGGAAAATACCTGGGGGCCGGGAGCTGTCCCACTGCCCACCTGGGGCTCAGGACATCGGTCTTTGGACCGGACTCCGGCACCCATCCGAGCCTGATGAGGAGCCGGGGCCGTGCGTGAACCTATGCAGACCAGGAAGAAATACATTTTCCTGACTTTCCTTGCCTCTTGGCTCCTGCTTTTCTTCTTTGGAGGAGACCAGCTGCGCCGTTTCGCTTTCTTTTCCGGGAGGAAAGCTGAAGCCCGGAGGAACTGGCCCCGCTGGACGGATCGGTCCCTTCTCAAAAGCTTTGCAGACCCCGAGGAACTCCAGAGCGATGGGGACCCCTCACTGCCATCGCCCCGGGCACAGCGGGCGACACGGCTGAGCGTCTACAAGAACAGCAGATGCCGGATGGAAACCTGCTTCGACTTCTCCAGGTGCGAGAAGCACGGCTTCAAAGTCTTCACCTACCCCCGGGAGAGGGACCAGCCCCTCTCGGAGAGTTATGGCAAAATCCTCGCCTCCATCGAGCGCTCTCGCTACTACACCCCGAACCCCGAGGAAGCCTGCCTCTTCATCCTCAGCATCGACACGCTGGACCGCGACCATCTCTCGGGTCAATACGTCCATAACGTCGATGAGAAAATCCGCAGCTTCCCGCTCTGGAATGGCGGCCGTAACCACCTCATCTTCAACCTCTACTCGGGCACCTGGCCCAATTACACCGAGGACCTGGGCTTCGACATCGGCCAGGCCATCCTGGCCAAAGCCAGCTTCTACACCGAGAGCTTCAGGCCCGGCTTCGACATCTCCATCCCTCTTTTCCCCAAGGACCACCCGCAGCGCGGCGGGGAGAGGGGCTGGTTGTATCAGGACTCGATCCACATGAAAAAGAAATACTTGTTGGTGTTCAAGGGGAAGCGATACCTGACTGGCATCGGCTCCGGCACCAGGAACGCGCTGCACCACATCCACAACGGGAAGGACATCGTCTCGCTCACCACCTGCAAGCACGGCAAGGACTGGCAGAAGCACAAGGACACGCGCTGCGACAAGGATAACGTCGACTACGAAAAGTGAGTCGGAGACGGGGTGGGAAAGGGGGTCTGGTGAGGGGAACACCCCACAAATGTTCCTGCCCCTCTGCGGGGTGCAGCCGTGCCCGTCTGCGGTGGCTGGACCTCCAGATGTGGGGAGAGAGGAAAGTTTTGGGCTCTGCCGAAATAGATGAGAGTTTCATTTCCATAGTGGGGAGCGAGGCGCTGGTTGTTCAGGGCTTTCCTGTTCTGTATTAAAGTCCGAGTAATCTGGCGAGAGCGGCTCTTATCTGCAATCACCACGACTGCCTCTAATACGATTTTCCTTTTTCCTAACGCTGATGAATGATGCTTTTCTTCTCCCGCCTTCTGCCCTCCCCTAACATAAACATTTATCTTGGAGATGAGCCTGAAACATCCCCCCCCATCACTAGCTCCGCTAAAAATCTTGCAAAATCGGTGGGTTCTTGGGCATCCCGGTGTGGGCGGCCCTGAGCTCACCTGGATGTGGTGGGGTGGGGGGTCCCCCTCTGTCCCCCCTCACAAACGGGGATGGCGGCAGCAGTGTGTGATGGACCTTGGTGAAAAAATTGAGGAGACAAATTTCTGTGAGTCTGGGGAGCTCCGCGCTGTGGGGACGCACACCGGCTCCTCGCCTCCCCATCCTCCTGCTTGGGACCCGTCACCAGCTGCCTGCTCCAGGGCTGGTAAGCACAGACCCCATCCCGCTGGCGATGGACAGGTCCCCGT